CTGGTATAAGGGAGATGCAGGGCCGGCGCGTGTGCATGAACCAGGTGAAACGAACCCCAGCTCCCGGCTGGATATGGGCAGGTGCCCTTTCTCAGACAGCCGTTCAGCCCCTGCAGCGGGGCTACCCAGGGATGTCAGAGCTCTAGGAGTGGTTCCGGGTTGTGGAACTGAGCAGCACGAGGGAGAGGGGAACGTCAACACAAAGTGCTTCGAAGTGAAGCTCCCTAATGTCGGCATCTCGCCTTGCTCCCTGTATCTGTCATTTATAAAACCCGCACTGGGCTGGCGGGTGCAGGATACCGAGTTTTAAGCTGCCTGAGTGAGGAATTGCGACGTTCGAACGAGTTAAAGACAGTGCTGCCTTCTTTCGTTTCGTTTCAGTGAGAATCCGTCCGGTGCTGGTTTATGGGACCAAAGAGGGTGCCCTTATCCAAATACATCTTCTGTTATCACTCGAAAGCTGATAAGGGTTCGGCTAATTCTTAACAAGCCGCCTTCCAAGTACGCCTACAACACAGTCCATGGTGCCACGGGCTGCGTAGGCGCGATTGGAGAAGTTCTGTTCCTTCAACCTATATAGTATCACTGTCGTTTCAGTGGCCGTGGGGCCATAAACAGCAGTGTCCCATCATCACCGCGCCGACAGCCACCCCAGTCCCAATGGGCGGAGCGTCCGGGTCCGTCCCCAGCGCGGCTCAGGTGCCGGCGGGAGCCCCGGGGCCGCCCCGCGGAATCGCCGGCAGCGCCCCGCGCCGCGCCCGCCCCCGCGGCCCCATTGGCCGCACCGCTGCTCAAATAGAGCCGGGCGGGAGCCGGCCGCCGCCAGCGGGCAGCGAGCTGCGCGTCCGTTTGTCTGTTTGCAGCCGTCGGGGCCCGGGCGCCCCGCGATGAGCAGCCCCGATGCGGGCTACGCCAGCAGCGAGGAGCAGGCGCAGGGCCGGGGCGCGCTGCCTGCCATGATGCCGGCCCTGGGCCCGTGCCCCTGGGCGGAGGCGCTGAGCCCGCCGGGCGAGGCCAAGGCGAAGGGCGAGGCGGGCACGACGGGCGGGCGCGGCAAGGGCGAGGCGCGGATCCGGCGCCCCATGAACGCCTTCATGGTGTGGGCGAAGGACGAGCGCAAGCGGCTGGCGCAGCAGAACCCGGACCTGCACAACGCCGAGCTCAGCAAGATGCTGGGTGAGCGCCGGGGCCGAGGGCCGGGGGGGGGCGCGGGGCCGGGGCCGGGCTTCGGGCGGCCGCGGTGACGGTGCTGTGCGCGCAGGTAAATCGTGGAAGGCGCTGTCGCTGGCGGAGAAGCGGCCGTTCGTGGAGGAGGCGGAGCGTCTGCGGGTGCAGCACATGCAGGACCATCCCAACTACAAGTACCGGCCGCGGCGGCGGAAGCAGGTGAAGCGCCTGAAGCGTGCGGAGAGCGGCTTCCCGCAGCACGGCGCGGCCGAGGCGGCGCCGCCGGCGTTGGGCTCCGACGGAGGCGGCATCGGGACGTGCGCCGAGAGCCTGGCGCTGCCCTACGCGGAGCGCGGCTACGCGGCGGGGCCGGGGCGCTACCGGGACTGCCCGCCGCTGGGCGCCGCCTTCGACGGCTTCGGGCTTCCCACGCCGGACCCGTCCCCGCTGGACGCGGCGCACGGCGAGGCGCCGTTCTTCGCGCCGGGGCCGCCCGACGAGTGCGCGCCGGGGCCCTACGTCGGCTACGGCCCCGCGGCGGCGGTAGACTTCTCGGCGGTGGGAGCGGGCGAGAGCCCCGCGGGGGCGGCGCTGCGGCGGCACCACCAGCACCCGCACCAGCACCCGCACCCCGCTGCCGGCGAGCTGGGGCCGGGCGGCCCGCTGCAGGGGCTGCTGGGCTGCCCGGCGCCGCCGCACTACTACGGGCAGCTGTGCCCGGGCCGCGGCCCGCCCGCTCCCGTGCCCGTGGCGCTGGGCGCGCAGCCGTCCCCGCCGCCCGAAACCGCGGCGTGCCGGGAGCCGCTGGAGCACTTGCCGCAGGAGGAGCTGCTGGGCGAGGTGGACCGCAGCGAGTTCGAGCAGTACCTGCGCTTCGCCTGCAAGGCCGAGCTGGGGCCGCCCTTCGCGGGCCACGACGTGGCCGGGCTGGCGTCGCCCGAGGCCGCGGGGCCGCTCTCCGCCGTGGTGTCGGACGCCAGCAGCGCCGTCTACTACTGCGGCTACGCCGACGGCTGAGGGCTGCGGCGGCGCCGAGACTCCTCGCTCCTATTTATGTAATTTATTCGGATGCTGAGGACTGCCGGGACCGGGGCTCGTTCGGAATTCAGGGGGTGCCGCGGTCGCACCGCGCTCCGAACGATGCCAGGATCGCCGTCTCTGTCTCACCGCGGGGTGCAGTGCTCGTACCGTGGAACCCCGACGTGGCACACAGCGGGGATGTCATTCACGGCCGAGATCCTGGCGGAGATCGGGATGGTTTTGTAACGTTGTACAGAGTTCGGGTTTTTATATATTGGTCGTGTACAGAGTATTTTTGCACTTTTCCAAATAAAGTGACAATAATAAAACCTCCCCTCGTTATCTCCTTGCAGAGGTGCGATCGCGCTCTGCAGACTGCCACTGCTGCTCTTGTGCTGCTCCTGTGGGTGCCCCTGCAGTGAGAATTCACCTCTGGTACTGGCTGCTGGTCGTCCCTGCCGTCCCTTTGCGCCAGGTGTATGCATAGTGTTCCATGTTCAGACTTTGTCTCTTCCCGTTTCTGATGTTCTGACCATTTATTTGGTGGGTTTCTGAGACGGCTGCGACCAATCTGACCACATTAAAACCCACGATGGCAGGGAGGTGCTCCTCTGCAGCAGCACAATACGAGGAGTGCTCACGAACCCTCACTTTTAATTTCCTTAAAGTAATTCCTGTAACAGAATGATCTTGACTATCTTTGCCACTGGCAAATAGGCACTGCCAGGTGCAAGCTGCCCGCCACTGCTGAGCCTCCCGAGGCGTAGCCCCGCTGGCAGTGTGCAACACCTGCTGGAGGATCTCTCCTCCTCTACCCACCCGTTCCGGCTGCAGAGCACTGTCCCAGCGCTGCGCTCCTGGCAGCCCCACCAGGTGCTCCCTCAAGGCTCCCACAGGTGCATGGCGGAAGCGGAGCTCAGCACGCAAACGCGGGCGGCCCTCGGTCACATCTCTGCTGGTCCGTGCTTACTCTGCACACAGAGCAGCGTCCAGATGGTGCCCGGGATATAAACAGTGCTTGAGCAGTGGCTGAGTGTTACTTTCCTCACACAGTTTTAACCTACGGGGTTTGATTAAATTCACAAAAATCGTAGAATAGTTTGAGTTGGAAAGGACCCTTAAAGGTCATCTAGTCTAACTCCCCTACAGCAAACAGGGACATCTGCAGCTACATCAAGTTGCTCAAAGTCCTGTCCAGCTTGACCTTGATTGTCTCCAAAAATGGAGCATCCACCATTTCTCTGGGCAACCTGTGCCAGTGCCTCACCACCTTTATCATAAAACACCTTCTTATATCCAGTCTAAATCTCCCCTCTTTCTGTTTGAAAGCATTTCCCTTTGTCCTATCACCACAGACCCTGCTAAAGAGTTCGTCTCCTTCTTTCTTATAGCACCCCTTTAGATACTGAAGGGCCACTATCAGCTCTCCCTGAAACCTCTTCTCCAGGCTGAACAGCCCCAGCTCTCTCAGCCTGTCCTCATAGGGGAAATATTCCATCCCTTGGATCAATTATGTGGCCCTCCTCTGGACGCCCTCAAACAGGCCCATGTCTCTCCTGTACTGAGGACTCCACATGTGGACACAGTACATCAGGTGAGGTCTCACCATTGCAGGGCAGAGGGGCAGGATCACTTCCCTTGCCCTGCTGACTGTGCTGCTTTGGATGCAGACCAGGATACAGTTGGCTTTCCCGGCTGTGAGGACACACTGCTGGCTCATGTCCAGTTGCCATCCACCACTATCCCCAAATTCACTTTTCCCTTCACCCTATTCACGACTTCGTGGAGGAAAATCACTTCATTTGGTCTAGAACCAAATCACTCTAACGCTGTTGGTATGTTTGAGCATCTCCTGGCAGCGATTATCAACACACTGTGTTAAATAAACATGGTGATTAGGAAACAGGGCTGAATGCATCCTCTTTAGCTGATCACCAGCACCCGCAAATGAACCCCGTGTCTCCCTGTAGACATGGAGCCCCCTCAGCGCCAGGGACGCCCGCGGGCACCGACAGCAGCCCTCAGGCCCGCTCCGATTATTTGCCTTAGCTGGGGTTGTGGGAGGGCTGCGGGTGTCGCAGAACCGCGTACCGTCGGAGGACAACGCTGGCCTCTGATATCCCTCGCGGGGCCGTAGGGATCTCGCTTGCTCCTCTCTCGGCCCTCTGCTTCCACTTCTCTCCTCCCGGGGAGGGCAGCGCGGCAGGTCGCTGAAGCGCCTCGCAGAGGAAGAGGAAGAGCGCGGCAGGTCGGGGAAAGTGGGATTTTCCGACGGTTTGGGTCGGACTTTTGGCTTTATATCAGCCCCCATAGTACGGCAGTGCCCGCTCTGCCCTGTCCCAAAGTATCTCCCAGCTCAGCCCCATCCCAGCGCGGCTGCCTCGGGTGCCCGAAGGAAGCCAGCATCCCTGCTCCCGTGTATCTGTCTCCCCCTGTACCAGACATAAACCTCCGGATCAGGGCAGCGCGGTTCGTGGGATTAGCTTTAAGGTGCGCTCAATCACCGCGAAGCCCGAAAGGGCAGAACCACAGAGCTGATCGGTGTCCCACCGCACATGACATCGCTCACCAGTTCCGTGCCTACTCTCACCACCAGCCGCGGCATCCGCGACACGGACCGCGGGAGGCGGGATAGGGCCGGACCGACTGGGTCCGGCCCCAGTGCGGCTCAGGTGCCGGCGGGAGCCCCGGGGCCGCCCCGCGGAATCGCCGGCAGCGCCCCGCGCCGCGCCCGCCCCCGCCCCCGCGGCCCCATTGGCCGCACCGCTGCTCAAATAGAGCCGGGCGGGAGCCGGCCGCCGCCAGCGGGCAGCGAGCGGCGCGTCCGTTTGTCTGTTTGCAGCCGTCGGGGCCCGGGCGCCCCGCGATGAGCAGCCCCGATGCGGGCTACGCCAGCAGCGAGGAGCAGGCGCAGGGCCGGGGCGCGCTGCCTGCCATGATGCCGGCCCTGGGCCCGTGCCCCTGGGCGGAGGCGCTGAGCCCGCCGGGCGAGGCCAAGGCGAAGGGCGAGGCGGGCACGACGGGCGGGCGCGGCAAGGGCGAGGCGCGGATCCGGCGCCCCATGAACGCCTTCATGGTGTGGGCGAAGGACGAGCGCAAGCGGCTGGCGCAGCAGAACCCGGACCTGCACAACGCCGAGCTCAGCAAGATGCTGGGTGAGCGCCGGGGCCGAGGGCCGGGGGGGGGCGCGGGGCCGGGGCCGGGCTTCGGGCGGCCGCGGTGACGGTGCTGTGCGCGCAGGTAAATCGTGGAAGGCGCTGTCGCTGGCGGAGAAGCGGCCGTTCGTGGAGGAGGCGGAGCGTCTGCGGGTGCAGCACATGCAGGACCATCCCAACTACAAGTACCGGCCGCGGCGGCGGAAGCAGGTGAAGCGCCTGAAGCGTGCGGAGAGCGGCTTCCCGCAGCACGGCGCGGCCGAGGCGGCGCCGCCGGCGTTGGGCTCCGACGGAGGCGGCATCGGGACGTGCGCCGAGAGCCTGGCGCTGCCCTACGCGGAGCGCGGCTACGCGGCGGGGCCGGGGCGCTACCGGGACTGCCCGCCGCTGGGCGCCGCCTTCGACGGCTTCGGGCTTCCCACGCCGGACCCGTCCCCGCTGGACGCGGCGCACGGCGAGGCGCCGTTCTTCGCGCCGGGGCCGCCCGACGAGTGCGCGCCGGGGCCCTACGTCGGCTACGGCCCCGCGGCGGCGGTAGACTTCTCGGCGGTGGGAGCGGGCGAGAGCCCCGCGGGGGCGGCGCTGCGGCGGCACCACCAGCACCCGCACCAGCACCCGCACCCCGCTGCCGGCGAGCTGGGGCCGGGCGGCCCGCTGCAGGGGCTGCTGGGCTGCCCGGCGCCGCCGCACTACTACGGGCAGCTGTGCCCGGGCCGCGGCCCGCCCGCTCCCGTGCCCGTGGCGCTGGGCGCGCAGCCGTCCCCGCCGCCCGAAACCGCGGCGTGCCGGGAGCCGCTGGAGCACTTGCCGCAGGAGGAGCTGCTGGGCGAGGTGGACCGCAGCGAGTTCGAGCAGTACCTGCGCTTCGCCTGCAAGGCCGAGCTGGGGCCGCCCTTTGCGGGCCACGACGTGGCCGGGCTGGCGTCGCCCGAGGCCGCCGGGCCGCTTTCCGCCGTGGTGTCGGACGCCAGTAGCGCCGTCTACTACTGCGGCTACGCCGACGGCTGAGGGCTGCGGCGGCGCCGAGACTCCTCGCTCCTGTTTATGTAATTTACTGGACTCTTCTCGGGACGTTTTCGACAAGCTCGTCGGGGTTGGAAGTGCCGTAAGCGAACAGCCTTGTTTCCAGGTGGTCTTGCACTGACATGCCTGTGCGGCTGCACTTCAGTTGTCATCCATACCCGAAATTAGCATCTTCCCTGCTGCATTGGTGCTGTTACTGTCTGCACAGTTTCCTCAGCTGATTTTACCTGTACTCTATTTATAGTTTTTTTTATACTTCAGGATAATAAATGGCTGTACAGCTCTTTCTGTCATTTTGTTTGGTCCTACAGTCTTGTAGGGAGACCAGCGGCAACAAAAGCTGTCATGTCTTGAGGTGGAGTGAGGGAATTGCCGGTGCCGTGTCACGCTTCATTGCCATAACAGTTTCACTGAACACGTTCGTCTCTGATGTAGCTGCGTTCCCGTTCCAGCGCTGTGTGGATGGAGCTGTGCCAACGTGTCTCCTCAAGTCAGACATTATGTGACCATGCTGAGTTGAGATTTTATGTTGATTTGATTTCCATTTTCTAATTGCTAGTTGGAATTTGATTGTCATTAAATGCACTGGGGAAATATCCTACCCTGAGCTGTCATCTGTGACAGAAGGATCCAGGTAAATTTGAGATGCTGCTCTTAAAGGAACTCGTTGAATGTAGATACCTGCAGACTCAAAGGTGATTTTGTGTTACATAGCGTTTCCTACCAACTGTTTGCAACAACTCATAAATGACATCTCTGCTGTATTTTCATGTGCTCTCACTTTCTATCACCTACCCCTGAGTCAATGAAGGTTCTGTCTGTTAGGCTTCAGATTTCCTCTGGTAGGGTGATGGAATGCCCACATGCTCATCTCAGTTGCTCTCACCCAACTGCTCACATCCATTACCCATTGAGGCAGGTGCTGCTTCACTGTTCATTTGTTATGCCCCTGTGAAGTTTTTTGCCATCGTTAAGAATGGAGCTACACCCCTGTCTCACTATAACTGTGCTTATGCAGAAAGCATCCATGATGCTTTTGGTGATGCTTCCTATGGGAAGATGTTGGCCAGGGCCAACTGGTGTTGACTGACTAGAATGTCAGAGACATTAATTCATAAGTGATGCTTGAAAAGTGGTATCACTGACATCTATAATAAAGTATTTCTAGCTAAAATTATTTATTTTGCACTAGATTCTTAGTTTGCTGAATTGTCATTGAAGAAATCCAGCCAAGACTCCGATTATGTAATCCATGCTTAGCTTTGTAAAACTTATGGTAACTTTGGTCTATTATAATGGCCATTTGCTGAACACCTGTCACACATACAAAAGATCAGCTGAATTATTTTCAAATAATCTTGTAACTGCATACTTGAGCAAAGTGTGTTGTACTTTGGAGAAGTCATTTTATGTAGTTCGGAGGAAATCCTGGTTCTGTCCACTCCAGTGGAGTTGGGTTTTCAGAACTTTGTGTGTCTGTGAAATTGAAAAAGCTCATTTGCAGTTGCTGTAATTATGTAGACCTTTAATTGTAGCAAACACAAAATGTAGTTCTCCAAAGTATCATTAAATCGCCTTAACCTTGATGTGACTGTTTTTCTGCCTCCTTTGACCTTCTGGTGCTGGTTCCTTTTTCATTTGCTGTTTGCCTTTTTCCTAGACCTTTGTTCACCACCTGCATTAATTGAAGCAGAAACTGAGGAATGCCTCATCAAACACAGCATGTATCCCATCCTGTTATAAGAGCCTGTGTTTGGCCTGAGACAAGGTGAAGATTAAGAAACAAACATTGTCAGTGGGTTTTTGAGTTAAAAGTTGAGGACAGTTGGGGATGTGGAGTAATTGGCTTGATTACCGTTTGCATAATGAAGCTGTTACTTCAGCATCTTTGCTTTTGCTATAGTTTCCTTCTACTATGTTCTTTGCCTAGATTATATTCCTGTTGTTGCGCAAATTTGCTTTCTTCCTTTTGTGTAATATCTCTAACATTCCTACTGAGTTTGTACATCTTTTTTTCTATTCATAGAATCATAGAATTGCTCAGGTTGGAAAAGACCTTAAAGATTGTAGAGTCCAACCACAACCTAACCATACTACCCTAACAACCCTCTGCTACATCATGTCCCTGAGCACCACACCCAAACAGTTTTTAAACACATCCAGGGATGGTGACTCAACCACCTCCCTGGAGAGCCTATTCCAGTGCTTAACGACCCTTTCTGTAGAGAAGTTTTTCCTAATATCCAACCTAAACCTCCCCTGGTGCAATGAGGCCATTTCCCCTCATCCTGTCACCCATCACCAGTGCGAAGAGACCAACCTGGCTCTGGCTGCAATCACTTTCAGGAATTTGAAGAGAGCAATAAGGTCTTCCCTCGGCCTCCTTTTTCCCAGACTAAACAGCCCCAGTTCCTTTAGTCACTTCTCCAGAGTCCAAGATTTTTTCCTTTGTCTGAAGTCTGTTCATATGCTGTCCCCTTTCTGTAATTGCATCTCTTCTCCTTAGTGTAATCCTGATTCTCTTCCTGCCCCATCTATGCCCTCCTTCTAATGCATGACATCCCTTCATCTCTTCTATTCTTTTGCTGTGCTGGATGGTAGTTTCATTATGAGCTTCTTCTCTTGCTTTCCTGCTTCACATCTCATGCCCCAGTGTTCCTCATCACATGTTTTGGTTTTTATAGATTCCATTCTGGATTTTCACAGAGGACAATGCAAATCACATCTTTGACACTGAGCTGATGCCTACCCTGGACTGAATATTAAATTGTACAGCAAAATGTTTTTAGGTTCAGTTTAATTTCTTTGAAAGAACAATTTTATTTTCAAAAGTGTATGGTGTTATTGGACTCTCCTGTACTCTTCTATAGCCAGCTGTTTGAGATGGAAAATTTGTGGTCCAAATATGTTACTGAGGATAAAGACAACTGACATTGTGTTCTTGAACTGGAAGGTCTGAGGACATCTGCGTCTGTATCGTGTTCAGCATCAGCTGAGTATTATACTTGTGCATTGGACTATTTCTGAGAGATTTCCAAGGGCACTGATTTAGGAACTGCAATGTAATTTAGCTTTTGTATTGCTTCAAGCAGTAAAAATACCCAATAACATGGATATTTTTCAAAAAATCCTACACAGGGATAATCCAGTATGTCTTGTGTTCACAGGGTACACTGAGCATGGTGAAGAGCTTCCCTTGTACAGCCTGGGTGCTCAGCTGCTGTGTGTGGCTGGGGCTTGCACCTGCAGAACCAACAGGAATACTGTGGGAGGTGCAGACCAGAGCACGAGTCCTCCACTATACTCCTTATGGTCCTGCTGTACATGAGGGCATGCACCTATGTGTATTGTACGTGCCAGTGTCTGGTGGTTCCAACTGTCCCAAGGAACTCAGGTCGTCAGAGCACATTTCTGGAATTTTTAAAGAGATTATGATTTCTTCTGTCATGATAAAAGAAGGGTCATCCTCTTTTCAAGCCACTGTATCTTCAGTCCAGTCCAATAAATGGGAAATCTGGATATGGATGCTCTTAAATGCTCTAATCATATATATATAATAATTTTATTTGATTTTTATTACCTATTTTATTTTTATAGAGGCCACATTGTTTTTTTTTTACATATTAATGTAGCAAAATTGATATTGTTCCTTTTGCAAACATTCTTTAAACAATTGATTTACCTATTGGAAAGCTTAGCCATTCTTAAATGAATGTGGATATTTAGATAAGGGAAATGCAAGAAGTGTTTTAGCAACCAAAATGCTAATGGCTGTATGCTGAATGATTACTAATAAGAACTGATAGATATATTTTAAATCCAAGTACAGTATGAAGTAGATAAACCTAGGCTAGTAGTGGAATAAAGCCAATTTAACTTAGCATAGTCCTAAATGATGATTAATTTATTCTTCTTGTCAGGGAAATTTATGAATAAGCCCTGACTTACTCCAGTGATTTAGAAATATATTTAGTTAAATGAGTGCATGATTGTGTAGAAACAGGGGATTTCTCTGGGATGTTTTACTGCCCATGGAAGGCTTACTGTCTGGAAAACAATTAGTACATTGTAACATTGATTTTTTTTTTGAGGTTAAGTGCAGTTTTAAGGTGTCTGCCTTAGACATAATTAAAGCATTAATGCATTTTACTCTACCTGTCATTTCCATTTGAAAGTACCACAAGTCTTAGAGTATTGGCTAAGGCTGAAAATAAAAACAAAAAAAGAAACTGAACCACAAAGGTTATGCCGTATCACCTGACATAAATGAAACAGATCAGTAATGAGCAATCATGATCAGTCACTGACAAATGCTGAAGTAGGTTTTGGAAACAACATTTATTAAAATCAAATTTCATCATGTAGCTGTTTAAAGTAGGATTTCACCGTGTTCTGTGTATTTAATAAGTGATGATTCCGAGGAAATAAATTTCCATCTTTTTCCTTATCAGAGAGAAAGCTTGTTTCATGGGGCATTCTACAGATTTAGCAGGGGAATATAGTTATTGTTCACATAGAGGGTGGCAGCTCCATTTACCCACAGAGAATATATTTAGGTACCAGCAATCTTGGGTTCCTTCCAAGGCATTGTGGAGTTACACTGCAGTGTCTGATTTACTTTAAAGCTTCTTGTTACAGTTTAGGAGCAGAATTTATCCTGCACACATCCTGTTTAAAACAAAATTTTCTTCCCTGTTCAACAGAGATAAAGAATATTTTTTATGGGTAAAAATTGTGTCCAAATTAACTGGAAGGATGAACCCATAACTGTGAATTCATAGAACCATAGAATATCCATAGTTGCAATATCTCCATAAGGATCACCAAGTCCAACTCCTGACTCCACACAACTACCCCAAATCAAACCCTACATGTGAGAATATTGCCCAAATGCTCATTGAACTCCAGCAGCTCAGGGCCATACCCCCTGCCCTGGGCAGCCTGTTTCATGCCCACCACCCTCTGGTGCAGATCCTTTCCCTAACCCCAGCTGCCCCTTCCCTGTCGCAGCTCCATGCTGTTCCCTCAGGCCCTGTGGCTGTGACACAGAGCAGAGCTCAGAGCTGCCTCTCTGCTCTCCATGAGGAGCTGCAGTTGCCATCAGGCCCCCCCTAAGTTCCTCTGCTCTGGGCTGAGCAAACCCAGGGACCTCAGCTGCTTCTCACACATCTTGCCTTCTAGACCCTTCACCATCTCTGTAGCTCTCCTTCAGACATTCTCTAACAGTTTTACGCCCTTCTTATATTGTGGTACCCAAACCATACTCGGTGCTTGAGGTGAGCA